TTTCTTTTGCTTTGACATCTGCTTCTTTTTCTGTGCAGGCACTGCTGCTGATGACAAATCAGAGGGAGATGAAGAGACCGGTACACATTCAAACACTGGTCAGTTACCATTTCAAAAGCTGCCTTATGCTGATCTCCTGCCTGAAACCGAAGTTCTTGCTGTTTGGTCCAAAAGCCGTTCTCCAGAGCAACTGGCCTGTGATCTGATGAAGGTGTTGTTTTCTGTAGAAGAGCGATTACTATGCAATGTAAATGGGAAGCTGGGTAAACAGCAATTTAATGTTCATAAAGTTCAACTAATAAGAGAGGTGTTAAGCTTTTTCACAACTCTCAGTCCTGCTGAGTTCGAAGAGCAATGGAAATATTGTATAACTAAAATAGACACAGCTAATCGAGGTTTAAAAAGAAATATGGTTATTCGAGGTAGGAAGACTACCTCTTGGCTTCTTAGATAGAACAATTTGTTGAATTTAGTTAGTTTCTGCAAAATGCTGTAGGCCATAATGTCTCTAAATTACCTGCAAATCACTGTATTGGCTTACTCACCGTTAAGTCACTATGGCATGATTTCTTACATAAGCCCAGTGTAATGTTCTGTATGAATATCTTGAAAGTTTCAAGTCTTAATTTTGCATGCATTCATTCCATCACATCATGTCCCATCATTCCAGTTGTGATTTGCTTCTGGAGTCGCAAGGGCTTCACACATTCCCCTTTAAATGTAGATCTTTAGTTGCCGTAGTTCCTGTTAATGTGACCTATGTTTGGTCTTCATATTGTTTAGATTTGTTTATTCATACAGGGTGTCTCTAGCTTAAAGTGTAGGTTTTTTTTTTGTTTGTTTTTCATAACTATATGTGCCTTTTTATTTTTTTCTAGGGTAGTTTAAAGTGCAATTGTAGTAGAGGACATGTTTATCTCTTACCTGTTTTGTTTGTTCTTTTTTTTTTTTCTTCCTCTTCTGTTTGTTAGTTTGTTTCTTTGTGTGTATGTGTGAGTATGAATGTGCGTGTGTCTGTGTTAAAGAGCAAATTGCCCCCACCATCACTTTAATAAGGTATCCTAGTTAATTCTTTGGGTTTGTCAGAGCAATGTTGTGGATAGTGCAGAGTAATGCTCTTCGGCTGTGTTTTTGCAATATTTCTAAATGCATACTGAGTAAAATCACACGTGGGCCTAGGTTTATCAATGACTGATCTTAGTTTCTCCAAGTTGAGATTTCTGTTAACTGCAACTAGCTTTTATGTTTTCCAGCCTAATAGAGAAACATAGACACTGTTGAATTTTTATATTCTAGATTTTTAGAAAATATAAATATATGATGTTGTTGCAGGGGGCTGATCTTGATGTTCCTAGAGTGTTGTAAATATGTTTGCTGGGTAATCAACAATTGTTGATGTGGCCACAAATTTATATATTTTGATATTTGTATAGTTGGAACTAATCAAGCCAGATTAGGTGTAATGTTTAGAGATTACAAATATTTACAATACAACATATTACATTTACCTGCCTCTGGATTTAGTGAGATTTTATTCTCTGTAGTGTGAAGCTATGAGATGATGTGTGTAATATCTGACTGTGTCAATTTGACACTTCTTTAGTGATGTATATTTTGATGCAACCAATCAGTGTTCCTTTCTGTTGAAGCATTCCTTTTGACATAATTTTTATGAATACTTAACTTACTGTTTTAGTTCTAAAGTATATTGCTACTGCTTCATAGTATGTTTCTTGGGCACATTGTCTTGGAGCTCCCATCATCTTTTCATACATCAAGAAATTCTCACTTTAGACTTTGGCTTTACTACTTGTGTAAGAAAATGTGTCATATGTTAATTATGTCAATACTGAGGGTCAGAAATGGTGTTCGTGTCAGTAGCTGTTACCTTGAATTAGATTGTAGTTACATAGGGACCTGTTTCATTTTATCCACCGCAGCAATTGTGATGAAACCGCTGCAGTTCCTCTTGCATTGTTAATGAGACTTGGCTGACATGTTTGTGGCTTATGCAGTAAATGTGTGATAAACAAATGGCCATATAACTAGCAGTGCCTTTTTATGACAACTGCCATTGACAGTTTTGGCTCTGTTACCATTTTTTCTTTTTTTTTTTTTTTTTTTACAAAAGAAATGTGTGTTTATATGACTGACAGATAAAGGAAATAAGGGTTACTCAAACATACAAGGCGCGTAATTGAATTCTCAACATACTCTGGTTAAATATCTTGCTAAATAATCTCTTTTCTTTCATTTTCACCAATCCATTACAAATTCAATATTGGTTTTAAATTTTTGTCACAATTGGATTCAGTGATTTAGCCTTCCATGCTTTGAGATACACCACTCTTGCCATGTTAGTCTATATACGTCTTCATCTATGCTGTTAAAGGAAATTTTCACCTTCCTAAATTTTGAAATGGTGTGTAACTATTACTGTATCAAAGAATTTTCAATCCTATTTTCACGTGAAGTTTCTGTGAGAATTTTAAATAATCTATGTGCTTAAGAGCTGCTAAACCAAGTGAAAAATAGAATTATAGTATCAGTACCCTTGACAAAATTTCCTATTTGTGTGGACCAGCAGACCAGAGTGATTAGACAACCAATCTGATCTTATGTGTCAAGTTTATATCTCCAAGGTATTTTTGTATATTATGATGTGATTTGGTTTTGATAAAATCATGAAGTGCTCAATCCTTGGAAACTATTCCAGTCAGATGTGTTGTGTGCATTTTGTCAAGCTGAATGCTTTTCTGTCACAACCTTTATTTGTGGGTCATAATGTATTCATAGATTTTCTTCAGTCTTTCTTTTGTTTGGCCCTAACCCTTAAGTAGACTTGATTCTATTTCAAAAACTGTGTTTGAATGTTTTTGTTTTCATTATCTGGAATTTAGGAATGGTTGTGAGTAGTAATATGGAATGGAAATGGGTTTGCAAAACAGGAGGTTATTTACCACTGTGTTACTTCTTTTAGGTTTTGTCCCTCACTATATACATATATATTGATTTATGTAAGTGGCTAGTTTATTTGTTTTAATTTTTTTTTTTATTATTTAAAAATAAATTCATTCATACTCTGATATGTTAGACAGGTAGAAGACAATTCTCACTGGAATTTTGTTGTTACTGCTCTAGACTTTATTATCTTATGTTTGTGTACAAATGGGCTAATCGATTGTGATCACATGTGAGAACTGTTTTAGATGTTGACAAATTCCTACATTTCACTGTAGGTTATCCTTGGCTACATGATGTGATACGTTTTCATGTATATCTTAGTGTGTGCATTATGGCTGTCTTGATTTTGCTGGACTTTTGCAAACAGCCTCACTTCCTGCTCCCTTGCTACTTGTTAAAAAAAAATCTGTTTCTATCCTAAGGTTTTATCTACCTCTTCAACTTTCCCAGTTCATCCGTTATCAGCAATAAGCCTGATATCTGATGTTCTTTATGGACTGTGCATCCAAGATGAACTTTCCATCAAAGGCTGTGTGTGTGTTGTTTCTTTTTTAATGTTTGTTCTAAATGCTTGTTTTGTTTCCTTTGTTCATTTATCAATAATGACGACATTCCTGACGTTTTGTTTGCTTGTAAGTTGGTATTAGTGCCATTAGTTACAATGTCATTTCTGGGCATAATTTTGTCAAAGAATGATGGCTTTGAAAATTATGCTCCTGGGATGTTAATATTTGAATTTCTCTGTGACCAACTATTGTGGCATAAAATTTTGATCTACAATTAAAAGGTTTGTGGCAGATAAATTGATGTTTCCTCGTAATTTATAGTCTCTCGTCTCCTTTCCTCCAACCTGCAGCAGGAATCTTTTAAGTCATCATTCTTATACAGTTCATTCCCCTGTATAAAATTCTGATCAATGTTTGTTTTTTTTTCGTTTTTTTTTTTGTTATTTTGTTTTTCATTAATGAAAGTTTCAGAGGCATCTGTTGTATCTAGTGTCTTTGTAGAAAATTGTAAATTTATGGCATTGTAGAGCTTTAAGCTGTCAAAGAGTTTCGTTGGTTGTTGATTTAATGCAGTTTGTTTCTGGTTCGTGAGTAATTTATTTTTCTTGTACCTTTAGTGTGGGGTCTATTCGTGTTGGTTTACCCAAGTGCTTTTCTGATCTGTAATACACGAAGGAATAAGGGAAATACACTATGATTTTAAATGAAGTTGTTTCTGTGCTTTAACTGTTATCCCCATGCCCTGAAACATAATTGGTGTAGTGGTTCTTCTCACTACCCTACGTAACACTTCAGTAACAATCTTAATTTTTGTGTTAACCATCTTATCTTTTATCATTGCTTCTTCTGCTTCTTGTGTGTGTTGTGTACTCTATAAAGCAGGTTTAACATGAGTTACCGTTGGAACAAGTTATTATTAATATTAACATTTGAGGTTTTGTCTTTCAGAAAGGAATAAATTTTATGAATGTTTTGTTCTATTTTAGGCGCCTAATGAGGTTTTATGTAGATTTATGCTCCTTGTTTTGCTGTTTTACAGATGAACCTATCTACCATGTGGAGCAAAATTTGCAGAGCCTTGAGTCAAATCAAGGTACGTAGGAAACTTTCAAATTTTTTTTATTGTAATAGATTTTTGAAAGTTTATTTTATTTATTTTAACCACTCTTTGCTTATGTGTTTCCAGTTTTTAATTGTTTGACTGCATCAAAGAAAGAAAATCCATTTCCTCCTTTTCCGTGCCCATTTTGTGAAAAAGCCTACACTAGTTGGGGCTTCCGAAGGAGACATATCAAGGCTATGCATACACATAGCGAACGGATCACCTGTAAATGGTGTTTACTAGTAAGATTCAAAAAATAATGATTAAGTTCCCTTATGTTAGGACATTTAGTGTGGCATGAAAACAATGGGGTCACGCCCCAATGTTAAATCATGGGCATAAAAAAGCCCCACACTCAATGTAATGAAAAAAGAACAAAAATTTACAACAGAAGCTTTAAACTGTTAACATGAGAGTATTAACTACTAACTTTTGAGTTCTACATTGTAGGTAGTGGAATCACATGCTGACTGGAAAAACCATGTAACATTAATTCATGGTCTTAGTCCTGCTGATGCCCAAAATGGAATACTTATTTTAGAAGAGGCTAATATGGTGTTACGCGTACTAAATCCCCCACGACTGGATACATTGATGACAATGATTAAAGGATCTTCCAGTGGTAGTCAAGGTATGTTATGTATCTCTATGAAAGTCATTTAAGAGAAGTAGATAAATTACTGGCAAAGTAAATCTTCTTTGTAGGCCCTTCTATACCAAAACAAAATTCAGCAGAAATAGATCATCAAAACACTGATGGTGTCAACAAAGATTCCAGCAAAGAAATGGAAAAATCAATTCTTGAAGAACAAAGCAAACAACAGAGTCAACATGCCTCAAGAGACAGTGATGAGGATGATGCAGTAATTGGTATCAAAGTGGAGCGGCCAGGTTGCTCAGATGAAGATTGAGATTGAATTGTCTTTGATGGTGAGCTTATCACTGCAGAGGTGGTTGATCTCATTAAATCTTTTTTGATGTTTCCCAAAGAGTTTGAATGGGTATTAAATTTTAATTTAGCACACCTTTATTGTTATTCATAGTATGACACATTATCCGTATGGCCCAGAGGAATATTTGCAAGTATTGGTAAAATAGTTGTATTTTATACACCACGCCTATCTGTTGGAGGCTGTCTGATGATTGAAAAATATTTCAATTTCCATTTTGTTTTAGAATTTTTAGAAATAGACTACAGCACTTATAATAGTTTGCAGCTTTTAATTGGTCATTAAAAAGTTATTAAAATAGTTATGTTCTACTCAACTTACTGTTGTTGTTGTTTTTTCTGGATAGTTGTGTTGTGAAAGTGCAATGTTTGACGACGTGAATGAACTGAACGCTTGCTTAAATTTACCAATAACCAGAGTAGACCAGGACCGATGTGACATTTTTCGCCGTTTGGTTCGAAAACGAGTATCTCTTGCAACACGCCTCAGGATTTCATCATCCGAAGCGGAAGAGGGAGAGTTGGAAGCAAGTGGAAGCAGCCCGGTGAGGATGGGGAGGGGGTAAGGGAGGAAGGAACTACCTTGGGCGGCGGCGGCACCGGGGCGCGGGGCGCGGGCGTGTAGGTGCCGCACCGGCACCGTTCCTGTAGGAGTAAGTGCCGGGGCTCCGTACGGGGTCCATGTACGGGGTTGCTGGAAGGGGGTCATTCATTGCATACATTAGCTAGCGCTGGTGATCTTTAGCTAGCGAGCTTTAGCCAGCAGCCGGGACGGGCGTGGCGATAACCGGTGAAACCTAAGCGATATCAGGAGGGTGTCGATTTCAGGTTCGATTCCACACGAAAACCGACGATTTGTCGATAATGTCGGTATCGCTTAGATGCTACAGCTTCTCAGATGGGCCCCGGAGCTTGTAGGGGTGAAGTGAAAGGGGTGAGTTTCGACCAGGCAGGCCACTATCAGCGCTTCCCAGAACAGCCGCTTGCTCCCCTGTCAAACACAGGAGCGGCATGGGGGGAGGAGGGGGGAGCGATTGACCCCCATCGTCTCCAGTGAGCCGCCTGAAAGGTAGGCAATTTTTGTCACCAAAACCCAAGCAAGTAAACCCATGGTGCATCCCCCTTGTCAGCCGGACCTTATACCGCTCCTGGTCGAACACACCGCCTACTCCTCACCATCCATGTGTCCTCGTCGCAAATTTTCAAATCTCACTTGGGTTTGCGACTCGTATGCAAATCAGACATCGTCGGCAAGAGCCGGTTTGGGCGTATAGCAAATCGTCGGCAAAAGAAGAGTGGGGCGGGACAAGCCGTGCCCGCCCCGTCCGGACGACCGTTGGGCCAGGTCAGGGTCCGCGATGTGTCCGGCCACTGGCCTACGTGGCCTGGGGAGTCCTGGAGCAGTGAAGTGACTAAACGTGACCTCCCGCCCCCCGCCGCGGGGACTCGCACCGAGCTCGGCGGGCGGGGAAGTCCGCGCTCCTCGCCGCGCGTACGACGCGCGCAGATGAAAAACATTGTTCTGTTCCGCTGAGTTGTTCTCTTTGCACTTGTTCTACTTTGTTCCGCACCAGGGACGATTTGTTCGGGTGTCTGCTCGCAGGCTGATACTATATGTTGTGAAGCTAAGACCCACCAGATGAAAACACTGATTTGTATCGCTGGGCATTTCTCTCTGCACTTGTTCTACGATGTTCCTTACCAGGAACAATTTGTTTTGGCGCCTGTCCGTAACGGCACTATGGGTCTATTATGGGGTCGTCCAGATAGTAAGCCCGTTTTTACGCCGATTCATTCGGCACATTACGGGAGCTCAGCGCCTGCGAGACTCGGGGTAGACCACCCCGCCGTACACGCACGCACCCCAGACAAGATGTTGCCAACCTATACGGCGCTACGCTACGAGAGGTTGCACAGGCTGCAATCGGCGATTTCGTAACGGTTTATCGTAAGCATATGCTATGTGCTCTTCCTGCTCTGCTGAACATTTGCGGCCGGTTACCCACAATGTTGCGGCCGTAAAAAATGAATGTCGTACACATGGTTTGAGGTCTGTCTGGAATCGCCAGGTCGTACAAACGCGGATCGTACAAACGATATAGACCTCATGGCAGGTTAGTTGCTTGAAAAAGAAAAGAAGTAGTGGTAAACCAATGTTTTTATGATGTGCCATTATATTTTTTCTGAAAAGGTTTTTGAGTCTCCAGTTGAATGTCAAAGTCAAAGCAGAAGGACAACCAGGGTTGTTGGCCATATGGCTCCAGGCTGAGACAGTGTGGATGGCGCACCCTCTGTCCCCTATGGAATCACATAGAAAATTCGTCTGCCATTCGCCGTTACGAACTTGACAAGTTCAGCCTCTCTGCAATCTGCAAGCCCCCGGAGCGCCTGGTAGGTAGGCAGCATCTTGTCTGGGGTGCATGTGTGTACGGCGGGATGGCCTACCCACAGTTTTGCAGGCGCCGAGCCCCCGTGAATATTGTGCCGACAGAATATAAGAAAAACAGACATAGTACTTTATTGGACGACCCCCACGCTCAAGGGAAGCAAAATTTTTAACTGCTTAACTCTGGTCGGGTGGGTGGCAATAGCGCTAGCGTCGTCGGAGCGAATGAGTTAACCACGTTCTCGGGTAGAGGTAACAACGTGTACCTAGAGATGAAATGTCATGAAACCGAGATCACATGCACACACGTTTGTCAAATACCGCAGGTAATTCGTAGGGGTTAAAAACACCTACTTTTTGTCAAAGAAAACTGATCTATTTTTTTAGAACTGTATTCCTTGTAAGTATAAGGTGTTTTACTGTGGGATTGTTTGAACTCCAGCAGGTGGGTCGGCCTCAGGACGCGTTGAGGACACGTGGACGTTGGACGGCGCCGCACCCTCCTTTTTCTGATGCAACATTGGTCGGCGGCGCGTCAGCCTCCCATCCGCTCCAAGCGGCCCGGCGGCCCGGCTGGCCAGCGCCGCCGTTGCCGTGCCGGGTAGGGCCCGACGGGCGGGGGCGCGTCCGCGCCGCGGGCCGCGTCTGAAACGGCGCAGGTGGCAACAGCAGGAGGCGGGTGTGCCTTTTCTGCCCCCCCTTCTCTTTGGATTTTTGCGAGGGTGCGTCGAGGAAGAAGAAAGAGGCGTGGTGAGGAGAGTCGCGTTTTATTCCGCACGCACTCTGTTGGTTGGCTGGATCCGGTGTGGACGTCGCCGTCCTCGTCGGGACGCAGCCAATGGGACGGTGGCATTTTCCCGCTCCTCGTCGAGCCGATCCCTCCGACCCGGTTAGCTGGAGGCTCGGCCCAGCAGCGGCAGGCGCACAGTCGGGGTGACCTAAGCGCGGACTGGACCCTCGGGGCGGTGTGGACAGCCGGCTGGGCTGAGCTTACTCCTCCCCAACTTCATCGTCGCCTCGATGTTGATGGCCGCCGTTGGCCGCACTTCCCCGGCCCGCGGACCCCGGTTGTGTCGCGTGTCCTGTCCCCCATCATCCTTGAGGAGGAAGAGGAAGGGGGGGGGGGGCACGTCGGGGGCATGCCTCGCCGCCGTGGTGTTGCTGAATGCCGCGGACTTCGACCAGGATGTCTCAGGCCACTCGTGGGATTGTGAGTGCCGAGTGTCGCGGTCGCGATACGCGGCCTCGGCCACCTGCGGTACGCCTCCTAG